CGACATCTTGAGTACAGTTGTTATTGTGGTGAGCAGCCGCCATCAAGTCAGCCCCAATACATGGCAATCCCATGGATAACGGGATCAGACCTCCACTGTGACCCGAAGAATTTTCATTGGCTGGTTTCTCAGAAGTGCAGAGTTTGGCTTTTCTTCCTTAAATGCCTTGGACTTCAAGCTCTGCTGACATCTGCTCAGCACGACAGCACCAAGTCTTCATTGTCAGAGGAGGGTGGCTATGCATGGAGTCCTTTGGCCAGGAATCAAACCCAGGCCTCCCATACAGAAGACAAGAAGTCTATCACTGAGCCAACACTACTCTCCCTGCGTACAGTTGTCGTTGTCATTGTTAAGTGCCACTGAGTCGGCTCTGACTCATAGTGACCCGACAGAGAGCTTCTAAGGCACAGGTGGTGGGTTTGAACTGCTAACCTTGCAGTTAGCAGTCCAGTACTTATCTCACAGTGCCACACCACGACTCCTTGTACATTCACTGCAAGCTCTTATGAAGCATTTTCCTGATGGGCATTAATCTGAGAGGAAGAATAGATGTAAGCAGCTGAAATGTAGAGCCATCCTGGGTTCCTTTAAAGGGCTATGGTGTGAAGACCAAGGCACTCATTCAATACCATGAGTCTCTTCATCTAAAAGGCATTTATGTGCAACAACTCAAAGGTGGCCATGGAACGAACTGAATGTGGATATTATCTGAGATGCCTGCTGCAACTCCAGTCAAAACAACATCCTCCCCTAAGGGGCTTTCGAGAGCTGCCACAGTATGTTCAACATGGCCCATGAGACCCACAATTCAGAATCATTAGCCTGGCAATAGAGAGAGGAAGTTCTCGCCCTATAGGCCTCACAACAGAGAAAAAAAAAAGCCCACCTACTGGAGTCCTGGTGTGGCGCTGTGGGTTAATGTGCCAGACTGCAAAGCCATTTGAACTTCAAGGTCGGTGGTTCAAGCTCACCAGCTGCTCCTCGGAAAGAAACCCTATACAGGGTCGCTATGGGTCAGGACCAACTCAATGGCACTTCACAACAACAACATCCTCTCAAAGTTAGAGTGCAGCGGGCATCAAAAACCAAAGGAAGGGCTCCTCAACATCTTCCATGTTGAGATCAGCAAGGAAGGAAAGTATCAGGCAGAGAATCATCAAGGTCGCGGCTCCTCAGAGGATGTGGAGCCAGAGGGGATTATGACATGTGTCCAGGCTCGGGGCTTAGACACTCACCATTGGATCTCCTGTCTCGGATGGAGAGAGATATTTGTTGTCAGGGAGACTAAAATCCATACTGTATCAGGATCCTGACACAGGCTGGTCACCCAATGATTGTACAGAGAGCTGAGTGACACTTAAAAGACCAGGGTAAACCTGATAACAGAACAAAGGGGTGACAAAGGCCATGCACGTCAGACTTCCTGTAGATGATGTGGAAGGGGCCCTCACCTGGGAGCCTGTTTTATATGCAGGAGCCACAGTGATAAATGAAAGGTCAATACAGCCCATTCAGGGTCCCTGTTTCCTCCTGGAGCACTCTTCTCATTTCTCCACCATGAATGGTTGATTCTACTCAGCCAGCAGGTCACATGCTTATGCAAAGAAACCAACCTCAAATAAATTATTGCCTTCCTTTATGTATTGCTCAGGTTTTAAGAAATGAGACCTAAATGACGAACCTTCTAAAGAACAGAAGAGTTTAAAGAGTTAGGGGGAATACAAGTCAGAAGGTGTTGTATGAGTCGCTTGGTTTTCAGTCAATAATTAAGAGGGAATCTAGCAAAAACAGGCCCTGCCCAGCCATTGCCAATGTCATCTCCAAGTACAAAGGGTTATGCATTCACATGATGGGCATGAAGAAAAGTGGAGAGAAAAGGTACTAGTGATTTTCAGACAAAATGGTCCCTCCCCTTCCATGCGGAAGATCCAGGTTCAATTCCAGGACAGCATACCTCATACACAGTTACCACACACCCATCAGTGGAGACATGCATGTAGCTATGATGCTAACCAGGTTTCAGCTAAGCGGCAGACTACTGAACTAGGAAGAAAGGTCTGGCAATCTACTTCCAAAAAATCATCCAAAGAAGTCCAATGCATCACAATAGTCCAATCTATAACCATTCATGTGAATAGCACAAGACTGTCCAGTAGTTTTTCATTTGTGCATGGGGTCACCATGAGTCGGCATAGTAGCCAACACCAATGTCAGGCAGAGCACATAGTTTTTGTTGTTAAGTGCCATCAAGTCAATCCTGACTCACAGAGACACTGTATAGTTTGCGAGGAGCCGCTGGTGACTCTGAACTATGAACCTTGAGGACCTTATAGTTAGCAGTACAGAAGCACTCCAGAGTATGTAGCTGTGGCTATTGCTAAGTGCCATCGAGTCAGTTCCAACTCACAGAAACCCTGTATAGGGTTTCTGAGGAGAGGCTGGTGGATTTGAAGCACTGACCTTGAGGTGCTGATCCTACAGCGCCACACCAGGGTTCCCCAATAGTCTGTGGAACAGCTGGTAAGTAAGAGGTCATGATTAAAGAGGTTTAGACTTTCTGACTGGTCATATGACTGCCCATTTCAGCTGGGCTGGGATGGAGGAGAAACCAACCAGCAAAGGCTGCTACGCGTCCCTAGCAGCAGTCCAAAGGCACCAGCAGGAGAACCGTGAGTGAGTTCTGTGTTTGGCAAGTTTCCGCTCACTGCCTGACCCTCGTTTAACAATTCTGATGTACCAAGGAGCAGACAGCTCCAGCCCAGGATGACTGCCTCCTTCGGTCCCTGTACGGCAGGCAATGAAAGCAGGATCCACTTTGAAAATTCTCCCCCATCATGCAAACTGACACAGGCAGGCTTTTCAAAAACCCACAGCCAATCTGTTGATCATTACTTATTTACAAAGGCCTTCGGGCAGAAAGTCCTGTAAAAACCAGGCTTGGTATATACTACCTTTTTCTGCTGGTGGAAAAAAAAGTCCCCCCCCCCCCCAAGGCTACCTCAAACCATCACTTTCTATTGCACATAAAATGTAACGTGTAACACTAAAGTATTTAATATATATGGTATAATATATCTACAGGAGGGCATTTGTGTAGAAGTATGTTACCCTGGATTTGGTAATTTGATGTTTTGCTGAAGGCTACGACTTAAAACAGCCTCTACCTCATACAGAAGACCTGTCATCTTGGTACCCAAGAGCCAACAGAATAAAGAAGTACCCTAAAGCAGCAAAACTTTGACACAGCTTTGAAGCATATGAAAACAGTATAACTCCTCAGAATTATTATTACTCGAGATCAAAGAAATGAGCCATACTTTACATAGCAAACAGGGACAGGGAATTTGGCTCGAAAGGTTGGAGATTTTTCAGACTTCTCTTTATTTATTTATTTGCTTCTCTAAATTTAGGCAAAGCAGAGCGCCTGTACAGTTCTGTACTTTAAATGGGTAAAATTATTGACATTCGAGAAGGCGATTACCTAAAAAGTGAGTAAATAGCAAAATGGCGCTAGCTTCCAGTCACCATAAAATTGACAAGGTTGGCAGTCGGTTTCTTATATCCCTCTTCATAAATGGTAAACAAGCGTGTACATCAGCAACCCCCAGGCCCGGCTGAGCAAAGGGGAGACCAGAGACCATTGAAGGAAACGTGCAACAGGAACATTGGGTCATAATGGAAGAAGGGTTCATGCTGGGTGAGTCTCCCACTGAGAACTGGCATTGTGAAATCACAGGATGGAGGACGGACACCTTTGTTTATGTCCCAGAAAGGTGAATGTGGAGGATCTGGGAGATGTGAATGTGACTGAAAAGGAGAGAGGGAAAAGAAAAGCACCGTTTTTAGAATTCAAATAAGTAAAGGAAGGGTATAGGCTTTGTTAATGGAGAGAGGTCAACTTCCGCAAAAATGATGGGTGTCTTCATGTGGTAGTCCTAATGGCTGATGCATGTCTGACGATCATTCCTGTTTTATGCACAGGCTGGAGAGTTAGGCTGTCTAGGGAAATACACAGGGTCCTCAACCCCTCCCCTAGAGGTTGGCAATCTGAACTCCCCCAGCAGTGATATGAAAGAAAGATCTGGAGCTAGGCTTATCTCAAGATTAAAATTAAAAACATCCGATGAAACAGTTCTATTCTGTAATACATGGGGTCACTATGAGTCAGAATTCACAAGACAAGCAATGAGTCTGGTGGGGTTTTGGGGGGTGGGGGCGTGGCAAATGAATAAAAGATGACGAACAAAAGGGGGAGATGAAAGATGAATTGGCCAAGAAACCTGTAGACCACTGGGGCTATTTGATTGTACTTGCCACTTCCTAGATGAGCCATAGTTTTGAAAGATAAAGAGGGAGAAAAGCACGCTGTAATTCATAATTAATACTGCTTTTAGCCAGCGCAGAACTGGATTACTTTTGAACTTTGCTTTGGCAAGTCCACAGATTATTAGACTTTTTTTTATCAGTCAAAATCAATTAACGGAAATTTGATTTCAATCGACAGGATAAAAGGCAGGTAATCTTCAGGTTCATTTTTGATTGTGATGATACATCTCACATATGGCCTTAAGTACAGAAAACAGTCCTCAGAGAGACTCCAGCAGAAAGAGACTTGCCGGAGGCAAACTAACCACATGAGTTCCTCTGATTGGCTCCCGCAGTCATTACTGCCACTGCTGTTTAGGAACTACACATAGACAGGACACGGTGACAGCTAAGACTTTAAAGCCGATGTATTTTTCAAACAGCTTTTCAAACTGTTTTTCATGACAGAATTTTTTCAGCTCTATCATTAACTGCTGACAAGCTGACAGAATAAATACTCCAGCCTTTAAGAAGCCATCTAATGATCTAGCTCCCCTCCCCCTGCCTTGTTCTTGCTGGGGAGGGAGGGGAGGCAGGAGCTGGGCTTGGGCAGGGTGAGGGGGAGGTGAGGAAGACAGGGGATGAAGTTGCTAGACTGGGAACCTTGGGCTTCTGTGTGTGGCCTCTCCTCTTACCTCATCAGCTTGGGCGAGGAGTTCGGGGAGTTCCGCATGCCTCCGTTCCGTTGCTTTTTTTTGGGTGACAGTGTGGACGGCTGTTCATCTTCAACTGGAAATACAGGCAGCTCATGAGATTATGAACAGTATGAAGGCAGACTGTGAGATACAGGTAAAATATCAAAGGACACACATTCAAGGCTCAGTCACTCACGAGTACTTCACGGCTGTCTTTTTTTAATATATATATATAGGACCCCAGTGACAGACAACAAATGTGTTAGTCAAAGAGGCCAGCCTAGAAAAAATGAGATGAGCCCCTACTGACACCGCAGCATTTTGAACATGCACTTTACACCGATTAAAAGTTTCAAAATGTCCCTGCCATAAAAGCAAAAGAAATTATGATTTTATCTGCATATAAAAATATGGAAGCATTCAACATTACTCTCAGAGTTCATTTGAGTTAAGTTGCTTTGCTGGGCAATCTGATGAATATTCTCATAACCGAAATCAGAGATGAAGTTGTATTTGAAACAGTGGCATCATGGCTGCCAACCTGCTGTTTGTCCAAATGAACCAACGTAGCGGGTTCCATTCGGAATCCTTGCATGCCTGAGAAAGAGCCTTCAAGAGAGGCAAGGATTCAAGGCCTTAACAGACAATGTTTCAATCCGGTAGGACTGGGAACCTTGTGCATGCTAGCTCCAGAATCCCCAGACCAACTCAGCTCTGAACTCTCCACATCCAAGGAAGGAAGGCTGTGCAGAGGGATCCTTTGTGAACTGATGGCAATAGTCTGGTTGGGAGGTTAGAGAGGCCAGCAGGCAAATAGCACCCACAAGAAGCAGGAGGTTGCTATCAAAGGGGAGCTCTGATGATGCAGTGAGGGTGGGGTGGTGAAGGGAGAACAGCAGGAGGAATTGGAAACCAAAGGCTGTTTTCCAAATGTCTAAACCACATAGATCACTAAGCAATGTGAAGCTTTGCTCACAGACACCACAGCCCACTTTACTGCTTTTGCCCAGACACCTACTAATACGCTCTGTAGATGATCAGCCTGCAGCGGGCTTTATTAAAAGAGAGTTACTTGATAATTAGTAGATGCATACCCAGTCTGTCACCCAAGGGCATCAGCAGCAAAAGCCTAGTTCTCCTCTCCCCACCCCCATCCTTCAGGCTACAGCTGTAATGTCAAGCAGGAAAAATAGGACCCTCAGATTCTCAAGGGTTGATTGTAGCAGAGACTAGGAGGAAGAGCCCCTGAAACTCAGAATGCACAGCGGTTATCTTAAAACGAAGAAGAGAAATATTAGCGGTGGCAACGTCTGAAGCAGCCTGACCCAGGAATAGCTCACTTTAGTGTGCGTCACTGCATTGTACTCCGAAGCTACTGTACTTTTCACACGTTGAAGTTGAAGGTTTGGCACACCCTTCTGTTGAGTATGTCTGCTGGCACATGTTCGCTTGGAGACTTTGTTACCTATTTTGGTCATTCACCATGTTTCAAACTTTTTCATCAAGCTGCTTCACACTTACTAGACTGCTGTATAGTGTGAACGTTAACTTCTATATGCACTGGGATACCCAAGGATTCTTGTGACTTGCTTTATTGTGAGAATTCAGTTTACTGCGATGGTCTACATCTGAACCCACACTATCGCATATAGGCCTGTATACGTTAATGCTGCCCAAGTCTTCGGTGGGAAGAAAATGCCATCTCAGAGACAATTATGATCCAGGACGACTCATATCAGAGCATGCATGCTACAATATTTCCCTGAAAACTCTAAATAAATTTATCATGCTATGATAAAAGACCTCATAGGGGATTATAAAAACCCAGTGACCCTTCAAACCTATTCTATCAAACCTGTTCTATCTAACTAGCCAATTACTGTCAGCCTGGTGTTGTCTAAATCCTGGCTGACTCATGCAGGGAACAAGAATGTGATACAATGTAACAGGGGTATCAGAAGCAATAAAGTCAAGAAAGTATCTGTGAATGCCCCCAGCTCACTTACTCTCCCACATACCCTTTCCTCCTCTCTCCAAAGCCTGTATCAGTCACTTTGTGCTTCAAGCAGGAAAGTGGCTGGGAGGATATCTATCACATCTTATCAGAAATAAGTATCCACAGCAAATCACACAGAGACTAAACACACTTAAAAGATTAAAGGGAATAAAAACAGGCCACATAAATGATATTGAAAAAAAAATCACTTAAGAGTTGATATGCATCTTAGAGTTGATAAAAAAAAAAAAAAGCAAGTGGGCACTTTCAGCTTGACCTGAATTCATCTTCCTTCCTTTCAGAGGGTAGGGGCCTAGATTGTGCACATGTGCATGCATATGTGTGTGGAGACAAGTACACTTTTGTGCTACTCCATTTTAGGATGGAGTAGAAAGTCTTGCACTGACTCCAAAGTCACCACTTCACATGGGCCACTTGTCATTGTTGTGTTGTGGATAGAATGACCCAGATTAGCTGAATGCTGGTGTTGTTAGTGCCCTCAAGTACATGCCAACTCAGAGGGACCCTATATAGGGATTCCGAGACTTTACATCTCTGTGGGAGCAGAAAGCCTCATCTTTCTCCTGAGGAGTAGATAGCAGGCTCGAACCGTGAACCTTGTGGTTCGCGGTCCAGTGCTTACCCGGTGGAGCCACTGCACTCCCAAGATTACTCGACTAGCATGCTGGGTTAAATGTGTGTTTGTGAACATGTGAATATGTCTAATGGGCTTCTCTCACATAAGTTGTCCTATGGTTAAAATAAAAACATCTGAAAAGGTCTTTTATCTAACGTAGTATATGATGGTTGGCTTGATCGATGCTACCAGATGTTACCAGGGTTTCCTGCCACTCTATAATTTGAGTCTATATTGGTTCAAATTTGAGCAGCTGCCATTCCTTCTGGCTTCTCTTGCCTAACTTTTGTATCCTCATTTGCATTCGGCCTACAGTGAATGCCCCCCTTTGGTTAAGTGCCCATTACCCTAACACTTTACCACTACCTATGGTTTACCTAGAGCGGTCTTCAGAAGCAAATGCTTGCAAGCTAATACCTGCTAGCCAGCTCCACTGAGACACCTCATTTTGGTGGTAAAGTTATGCCCCTTCTATACAAGGAAACTATTTTCATTGGACTCAGAAAGACCATCCATCATAATCATGTTGCATTTAAGCTAGGATTTGTTCTTTTAAATGAAACTCGTGTTCAAAGGTTTCCTTCTGTGCTCACAGTCTGGAAATATAGATGTGTTCCCTGAAGAGTTGGGGGGAAATGTCTCCAGCTTGAATATACGAGTGCTATGCAGAAGAGACCATTACATATAGTTTAGGTCCCACAAGATAAGCAGTGGCCACTCTGATAATAGGCTATAAACCACATTTAATTATTAGCCTTTGTGTGGAGTCTACCTATTTCTGCATAGTTACAGAAAGTGGATCTAGGAAAATGTTACTTAAGCTATAAAATATATTTTCACTTCCTGGTTTCTATGACCACATGAGAAAAATAAAAATTGGATTAAAAGGGAGACTCAAGTTTACTTTCTTTCATAAAAGACAAATGTATTGAAGGAACAGCCAAGTACCTCGCGACATCTTACTTTTACTGGCCTATCTTTAACTGACTTTTTGGCTAATTATATTCAAGTCTGTTTCTAGCATTTTCATTTGCCTCCCTGCTGTGGAAGTCCCATGAAGGTATGCTCTGCAACAGAACTATGACTTACCACCTTCTTTAAAATACAAACAAGTTCAGGAATCCAACGTGGAATTTTTATAGGAACTGAACTCCATCCAGTCTCCAAGTACTCAGAAAATTCAAGGGTTTGTTGTTACACATCCCCAAGTACAAAACTTAATGTGCTGTTGTAACTTCCCAGCACTTGCTTGTCTAATAGGCACTGAATCTAACAGTTTTACAGTTTGGGAAGACTCAGTGCTAGAAAAATGTCAGACGAGTCTACTGAGGCTTCAGATTCCCTGGTTTACACTGGTGTTTAATTTAAAGTTACAATGATGTTTTAACATGTTTGCTTATATTCGACTAAAGAGAGGATTCATTATTTCAATGACATAACCTCTAGACAATGTTCTGGGAATTGATTTAAGATGTGCTGGTAATTCCAACAGCCTTAATGCAGAGTCAAACATCTGTAACAACATTTTACTCGGTTTCTCCTCAGCATTTCTGTTTGCAAGCAAAAGAAAGGCAGTATCTTCCAGAATTCCTGGCCAGAATGTGGAGCTTATTTCAAAAAAATTATCGTATTTTTTACGAGATAATTTTTAGAAATCTCTCTGTGTGTCTTAGCTAGGTTGCAAACACTGTGCTGGTGTTTACCAGTGTCTCCTTAGGGGCCCTTGGAATAAAATGGGGCTAGGATTACAACTTTCAACTTTCTAGAACATTCCAGTGCCAGCAAGTGGGAGACTCAGTTCTAGCCTGGGGCATATTCCCTCTTGCCTATTTCCCCAACTGAATTTAAGAGATGATGCCCTTTGGTACTTGAAGGTGAATTTGTTGGCTGGAGTTAAAAAAAATAATAGTTCAAAGCAAATAAATTTGACAATGTCATAAAAGGCAAACAACTCATAAACATGAGTTAACTGGCTATCTCCATTATATTATTAATCACCACATCTGGAGAGACCCACATCTGCACACACTTAGCAGGTCATTAGTAATGGCATATTCACACTGGAATCACTCACAGCAAGAGTCATGCAAAGTGCTTTGAATGCGAAGGCTTCTAGCTAACAGGGCTTCCTCTGAAAGTTTTAAGCAAGCTGCTAGTTTGGGGATGGGGTTGTTTGAATGATTATTGTTTTTTATGACTTTTCTTTTTAGTATTTTGCTGCCCAGAAAGCCAGAGGCATGCTAAAAACCACAGTAGTTCTAAGTGTCTTCTTCAAGTGAGTACAGCCTGTTACAGTTGGCCTCTGAGGGGTGCAGGGCAGAGCAGACAGCCTTTGTGGTTACTAGAAACTGGGATGGGGTTCATGCACTCCTTCACCTGGCTCAATCACAAGCCGAGAATTGGGAGCTGCGTTCTTGAACTCAAATGGGTCTTTGGGATAGCGTGATCTAGGTGCCACTTT